GTCGATTCTGTATGTAAAATATAGTGAAAATGCGAAAAGTGAATAGCTCGCGCGATTCAGTAACTTTCACCATAGTGAAAATGCAAGCCATCTCACGGGAGTTTGTTCGGCAAAAAATTTCTTGTCGAATAGTGAGATATGAAAGAGAAAGAGACAAAGAGAAACCATGAGTTACGGACGGCAACATCATCGATTCGAACGTAACGAGATTGTCTTGACTTGAGTCGTGTCTGACTGCATTTAATATTTTGGTTAATATCTCCCACAATTCATTATGTAAATGATTAAAAAATAAGAATTTTTTTATAAATCTGAAATGGCAATTACATAAAAACAATTTTTAAAGCTCGTTGAAAGTTAAACCAATATATAAGGCCTTACGAGCCGTTTCCAAGATGTTGAGCGGAAACTGTACGTGTATATATATATGTATATATGCATATACGTGTAACAAGTTCAACTTGTAAATTTTTTACAAGTGAATATTTTTTGAATTGAAAACTCAATTCTTAAATTCATACGGGATGCTGGATTTGCATCTCACAGGGAAGGCAATGGCACGGAAAGCCGGAGATTCCAGGTTCGACTCCTGAGGTTGAGGAGTTTTTTCGCAATATTTTAAAAATTAGTTAAGGGGGTATCCGGGGTCTGTCATATGTAAGATAAGGCCTTATATATTGTTTTGACAATTACATATTTAAAACCTTCTGTTTAGTAAATAACAATATTTAATAGATAATATTTTAAACCATAACACATTTAGATACTTTTGCATCTTATCAATTTGGTTTTTACACTTTGTTATTTAATGTCTAATTACTAAGTGGTAAAAAATTGTTTTAAAAAACTACAGAAAATAATGGACAGATATTGCGATTAACAGAAACAAATATTATTCAAAATACTTACCATTTTTCGCTTATTTTTATTTTTATATCTTAGGCGACCAAAATCTGGATGTTTATTTATAAAATTTAACGTTATTTCTTTTTGTCTTTCTGTAACATTCATTATTAGTGTTATTTTACGAACGTATTGTTATACCGTGTTATTATTATAACGACTTGACTGTTATTATTATAACGACTTGACTGTTATTATTATAACGACTTAATTGTTTGTTTTTTCTGCACCAATCGCTGCAAAACCGTTTATCGTAGTTGACGTATCCACTGTGTCGGGCTCGTGAATTATGCTCCCATGAATCTAGGGATATCGCATTTTCACCTTGCTCATAACGAATTGAGCGTATTTCTTTACGTGAGATGAATGTGCGAAAAGTGAAACAATTCGACTGTAACAAAGTTACAGAATTGATCCTCTGGGGGAAGTCCGTAAACAACAGAAATGGCAATATACATAGGAGCAATTTTATTTTATTAGTTCGTTCCATAATTCATCTTATAAAAATAATACACGTTGATTGATAATTCTTACTTACAATTTATTATTTCTATTATTAACCATTTGTAAAAGTATTTTATGTACTAACAAAACTTATAAAACTTACTTACTATTCTTCTTTTATTTTCGTGGTTATATCGCAATCTGCCTCTTCCAAAATCAGAATGAGATTGCATAAAATTTACAATAATTTGTTTTTGCTTTTTTGTCACTTTCATTCTTATTTGCTTTTTGTCTCAATTATATTTCTAGTCACCAACTAACTCAGCCGTAACGTAAAAACAAAGACGAAGAAGATGGTAAAGTTTTCGACAAAACGTTTTTCTTCACAATGTCACATTTAGTGATTTCGTATTTTTACTTCGACGTTACAGAATTGCGCGAACAACTTCACGTGAGATAAAACTGCGAAAAGTGAATGATCTGACTTGTGAGTTACAGAATCGACCCCCTGCGACTTGCGTGTAATGTAGAACGGCCTTTGAGATCCATTTTTGTGGGTATGGCGCTAAAACCGTTGTAAGAGGCTGCGATCTGTTTCATACTTAATCGCGCATTTATCTGTAGTATATATCACGTATATTATAGATAAATATGCGCTTAAGCATGAAACGGACCGCAGCCTAAGGCCTGGTTTATGCGAGCAATAACTGTTAACTTATGCCGGAACCGGTAAAGTTTAACTATATGATTTTAATACTTCTGTTTATACGAAATTGCCGAATGTGTATAAACAGAAGTATTGGAATCCTATAGTTAAACTCTACCGGTTCCGGCATAAGTTAACAGTTATTGCCCGCATAAACCAGGCCTAAGATGGCCGCTCTTAGTCTTCTTTCTAAAGGTACCTTTTCATACAGCAGCACGCTGCGGCAGCAAAACGTCACGTGACTCAAATTTTCTAGGACTGCTTCCTAGGTATAGTTGCTGCTCTTACCTAACCTAACCCCATAGACGTATAATATATAGACTGCGTGTTCCCTACCTTTGCCATGTTAGGTCTGGTTTATGCGAGCAAATAAGGCCTTGTTTTGGCCTTGTTTATGCGGGTAATAACTGTTAATTTATGCCGGAATTGGTACAGTTCAACTATAGGATTTCAATGCTTTTGTTATATTCTGTTATGCTTCTGTTAATAAACAGACATATTAAAATCTTAGGCTCGCATAAACCAGGTCTTAGAGTTGGTTTATAATACCCGTAATCGTTAACTTACGCCGGTGCCGTAAAAGTTGGAAAATAGAAAACTCGTACTCCTGTTCATAATTCAATTATGAACAGAAGTACGTACTTCCTATCTTCCAACTTTTACAGCAATGGCCTAAGTTAACGGTTACGGCTATTATAAACCAACTCTTAAGAAAATGTCTTCAACGTTGAGAGAGACAGCTGGTGTTGAACAGTAACCTCATCTTTGTCTAGCAAAGTAGTGGAAGAAAAAGAAGTCTTCGCTGATTGATAGAATAGTAGTGGAAAAGTGGGGATAGAAAAATAGTGGTGGTGAAGAAGAGTGAAAGAGATTAAGAGGTGATGGTAGGTTAGGTGGTATGAAACAGTAGGCCCTGATCCCACCACAGACATTGATAGACAGAGAAAGAGTTACTATTCAAAGTATGTTGTCTCTCTCAACGTTGAAGACATCTTTTCAGCCAAACGCGCAGTCTATATATTATACGTCTATGTTCTCGCTTGTGTGCGTACCCCCACTTAAACCTTCCAGGGGCACGGTGCCATAATTGCAAAGAAGAAGAAGTGCGTACCCCCACCGCTTCGATGTTCTCATTGCTCCCGTTCCGGTTCGATCTTGCAACTCTGAACATAACTAAGGCCTATGTCACACTACGGATCGGGATTGAGATTGGATTGAAATTTGACCTATCAGAAGAAAGAAAACCAATCATAAGTTTGGTAATCTTCGCTCTGATTGGTCCCCATTGCAAATCAATCTTAATCTTAATCCGTGTGACATAGGCTGAAGGGAAACGTCCAGCTAGTAGAGGAAGGCTAATATTACATTTATCGTACAACAACGATTTTAAGTATGTTGAATGGTTATCAGATAGAGGTTTATAAAGAACTTTATTTGATAGCCAATCAATATACTTAAAATCGTTGTCGTACGACGAATGTAATATTAGCCGAAGAGTGTGCCCCAAAAAATCGCAGATGGTTAAAGCCCGTTCTACATTGATTGCAAGCGCAAACGCAAGGTATTGATCTTGTAGAATTGACCAATCACGCTCGTCAATTGGCTGATTTGATCAATACGATTAGTCAATTTTAAGAGCCGTCTACAATGGAGAGTTGTAGGCCGTAATAGTAAGAAATTGACCAATCACAGACAAAGTACAGAAGAATAATCGATTGTGATTTGTCAATTTCTTACTGTTACGGCCTACAACTCTCCATTGTAGACGGCTCTTTACGA